ATGATTGAGCACCTTAAGCCGAGTGTAGTCTAATTAATTTTACCACGCCTTATAATTACAAACTCATTATATAATTAATTGCTTCATAATCTATTTCATGTTATACTGTTACAGGGAGAGATAGAGATGATTACAGGAGAGAGATAATGAAGGTTACAGGAGAGAGATAGTGAAGATTACAGGAGAGTGATAGTGAAGGTTACAGTCGTTTGTCGCTTTGTCACGGAGATTAAAATATTATGATAGTTTGGTGAAAAGAAAGTTAGTTTCATTATATCAGATGTTTATTTTATTTTATTTTTGTATTATTAAAGATCTGATAAATAAAAGACAAAACAGATCAATTATGACTGATCATTTTTTCTCTTTCTTCTTTGTCTTGTTTATTATCGTTATGCCTTACTCTTCTTTTATCACTGTTGACTATTTTATCTCTATATCGTTCATTTATATTTTTTTCATTATATATATTTTTCATAGTTTTGCTTTCATTTCCATCGTTTCTTTCTATTTTCAGGAGTCAATTTATATATTCAAGTTGGGAATTCTATCCATATTTCATTCACTCGTATAATTTTTGAAGATTATCCTCCATTACAATGTGCTCAATGCAATACCCCTCCACTTTCATTCCTCCATGCTGACAGATTTCCCTCCATTCTATACCCTCCACATTTATTCCTCCATGCTGACAGATTTCCCTCCATGTTAGTTTCTCTCTACCAAAGCTTTCACTTCCCGTGTTTTTCTTCCTGTTGAAATTCTCTTCTCTGTAATCACCAATCTCTTTTTTCTTACATCTATCCATCATTATTCCTCTATGATGTAAAATTCTTCTTCACTCCTCTAGTTACTCCACAACACGAGACAGAATGGACATCTTGTGTATATTGTAGTGTCATTCATGGACTTCCTTTCATCTTAGTTGTCTTTATGTTGATGTTTTACTGTAATTAATGAACCTCCCATCCATTATTATTCCTACATGTTGTCAGTTCCTTTGTGTGTCCATGTCTGTTACTCCATGATTTGTTTGAGTTTTTGTAATTCTTTTAGTTTTTGTAATTCTTTTAGTTTTTGTAATTCTTTTAGTTTTTGTAATTCTTTTTTGTGTTACAGATTTGATTCGAAGTTTTGACTGATAGTTTGTATGTAGTTTTTCCTGTCCAAGTTTCGTTATACTCACTGAACCTCATCATTCATTTGTTTATTTTTATTTATCTATGTTATAAACTTTTCTCCGCTATTATTCCTCTATGCCTTAAGCTTTTCTCCTTGGGTAGTATTTAAGCTTTTCTCCTTGTCTGTTACTTACGCTTTTCCGATCATTATTCCCCTATTTTTAATCTTTCCTCCGTGTCTAATACTCCATGTTGTAATCTTTCCTCCGTGTCTAATACTCCATGTTGTAATCTTTCCTCCATATCTAATACTCCATGTCATAATTTTTCCACCGTGTTTATTAATTTATGCTACGATTGGCCATTCTTGGTGTACTGTTGACATCTGCTGCTTTGTAACCTTCGTGGAGGGACAGAGGAAGTAGAGAACGAGGCGGAAGAGCCAATTAAGATACTTCACTCGTGGCTAAACACACTATAGTCTAGGTAGCCAGCCCCGCCGCCTTCCTTCCCGTTCGTGACTGTGGTCGGTGTTTGACGGATGTGCTTCACGGTTTTTCAATCCTCGCCTGTCAGCGCTTTCTAGATGGCTTTGTATAGGCCGTCATTAGAATAAAATAAAACAGGAAATAAACTGTCATCGGTTTTCCTAAGAACATTTGTTGACAGTCGTAAATGAAATGTAATAATTATTTACTTCAGTTCATGTATAAAAAAATTACCCACTTCAGATCGTGTAGAATTATAGTAATATATGTAATCATGAATAATTTCGTAATTTAACAACTCGTATCGCTTTTGTCTTTAAAATAACTGCACGTGGCATTGGATCAACTTTCTACTCATAGAGACTCACGGTGGATGTAAACAAACACAGTGAAACGGCCTTAATCACCGCCTGGGAGAATCGTCGTCACTTAGCGTATCCGAACGACGGCAATTAGTGGGCGCGGGAGTAAGTTTGTTTACAGCGTTTTAGAGATAATTATTATACCCCCACGTAGAGTACATTACAAAAGGAGAAAGTCTGTCTGTTTAGAAAGGGAAAGTCAGGTGATATGTTTTTTGATGTAATTCATATATCATTATCTTCATGTCTACAGAACGTAAGAACTATCATTATTTTGTTTTGTCGCCCGTGGTGTCTCTGGGTTCAAACATAACAAAGACCTTTCAGATATTATTAGGTTATTTACAGTCATACAGTAAGCTATCTGGCTATATGGAGTGAAAAAGCGTGCAATTATCTACAACTACTACTACTACTACTACCACTACTACTACCACTACTACTACCAAAACACCATTCAATAATAAAACACATGCTATCTCCCCCAAAACCAGACCTGTCATCATCTAAAGTATGTGAACGAAAAACAAAATAACACTGAGAAAGTACCCAACTATTATTGCGGCTTCAATATGTCAAGTAAACGATGCTGTGATTTGTTCCCATTGGGTGAAGACAAGAGGGTGTGAGACTGTGTGGTTGTGAGGGCCTCTGAGAAGCTTGAACTCTTCTTTGTTAATGGGGTTTTATACCTGGATTTAGGTCACGGTAGATACTGAAGCTAGAATTAGTTATTGGTGGTCTTGAACTACAACTATTAGTGTTACTGTACTACTATTAATGTTTTGCTTCTATTACTAGTACTGTTTCTATTACTGTTATTACTACTGTACTACCACTGTTTTACTACTACTACTACTACTACTACTACTGACGCCATCTCAGATCACAGCCTGGTACTGACTACTTACCATCTGTGTTTCGTCTGTTTGTTTGTGGGTGTTTACATATCCGTAGTTTACCTTTATGTTTGTTTGTCTTGGTTTAATATGTTTTACATTAGACAACAGTTAAGTAAATTAATGTTCTTTGTGTATTTTTTTTTTACCTTCTCAACTAATATTTACACTTACATTAAATAACAGTAAGTAGATCAAATATAATTCTTAGTTTTTCAAGGTATTGTTGTGTTCAAGGTTTGCTAATGTTATTCATGATATAAACCTCTCAATTCTCCCCCCTCAACCTCTCCCTCAATTCCTCCCCCTCAATCTCTCCCTCAAATTCCCCATCATTCACCACCTCTCTCTCTCCCTTACTTTACAGATGCGGGCAACGTGGGTTCTCAACTGCCTCTTCCTGACGATGACGATGATGTCTGCTCCACTCCTGACGAAGGCTGAGGTCTACACGTCCATAAATGACTTGACAGCCGTGTTTGCCATGGAGAGACGGGTGGTGGCTGCTCTTACTAGCTACGTGGACGATATGGAAACCCGACTGAACAAGATTAAAAGGTGAATATTGAGCTGGTGGTTAGTAGCTGCTATGGAGGGTGACTGTGTGTGTGTGTTGGTGTGATATGTAGAAGGAAAGGGAGGTAGAAGAAGAGATAGGAGAAGAATGGGAAGGAAGGGGGTAGATAAAAGAAAGAGAATGAGGAAAAGGAGTAAGGAGGAGGTAGATGAAGAACAAGAAGGTGGGTGGGAAGGGAAATTGTATGGATTAAAGAGACAGGGAAGAGAAAGTTGCTGCGCTGTGTTGATTCGCTCTAGTAGTATCGCGTCCCTGAGGCTACACTAATGCCATCTGTTATCTGTGTGTGTAAACTAACTGTGTACACTAATGCCATCTGTTATCTGTGTGTGTAAACTAACTGTGTATATCTCCTCAACATCATCTTACACTGTTTATATTTGTTATGTCTAAACAGTATATTTAACGTAATTAACACTCAGGAAAAAAAATATACAGAAAAAAAAATATATATATTGTTTACCTATTTTCGAATCTCCTATCACCTCTACCCCCCCTCCCTCCCTCCCCTCCTTCCCCCTTCCTCCCTCCCCCTTTCTCTTACCCCTCCTTCCTCACTCTCCCCCACTACTTGCCACTTCCCTACCCCCGTAACCTCACGCACCATCACCAATTATATTAACCTATTATTTAAAACCAATTAACACGTCTTTCTTCGTCTCCCCCCCCCCACCACCACCACCACCACCACCACCTCCTCTTAACCAATTACCTGGTCACTAATTGATAGTCATTACGTAACCAAACCAAAGTTACTGATCATCTCTAGTATGATAATTACTTTACTAAATACCAATATAAGTACTTATGGGTCATTACCAGAGACGGGTCATTAGGAGTACTTTAATTGGCATAAGGAATTGGTTTTAATTGGTGATTGAAGGGGTTAAATTGGTCTATTGTGTTTATTTTACCATTTTTTCCTTTGTGGTCAAATTTGTTTCACATATATAATTAATCTCTGAAATACAAACATTAAATAAGAATTAACAAAAGATAATGAAGAATTTAATTTATTATATTTATCAAGAAACTTATTATCCATCCAATGATCCAATGCTCCCAAACCAGTGGTGACATCCTTGGGTATATAAACTGGCTAAATTATACAGTATATGGCTGAGTTTAATTCCTATATCACTCTACTAATATAATTTTTTTTTCCCGCGGTTTGATATATTTTTGGAGGAGAAGGGGAAGGGGGGGGGGAGGGGTTCACGTCTCATCGACAGAGTGAAGATAATGGTATACTGTCTGATAGTTTATGCGGTCCAGGTGATAAACTTTCACCTGTGGTAATTATCCCTGTATGATTCTTCTGTACAGGTGTTTAAAGGTGTGTGTGAAATTTTTACCTCACACGAGAGAAATATATATGAACAGACACACAGACAGACAGACAGACAGACAGACACACAGACAGACACACAGACAGACAGACAGACAGACACGTCCTTATATTATTAAACATCAGTACACTTCACTAACACACTACAATACGCTCTTAAAGACTAACAACACCATTATCTCAGGTATTCTCATAATGACATATT